ACACATGTATCATATGATTTTAGAAGCACAGAAGCTGCAAGTGATATCTTCCAGAAGTGAGAGTTGCCTTTTCTTTCCGGTGAAAAGCAGATTTCTGTAGTCTGATCAGAGACTGAGGTGGGTTGGGGCTGGATTCTAGTTTAGGAAGATGCATTCCACCTCTGGTTTGAAAGTCCTGCCTTTTGGAGGTTTGAGCTAAGCAACCACTTCAAGCATGTTAAAATTTGGCTAATGTCTTGAGGGAAAGACTGGTCACATGTCTGGCAGGCCTCTCCATTTGATGGGACTGTTTTCTAAATACCTATAAGACTGCAGGATATTTCTCTCTGCCTTTCTAGCCCAGCCCCCAGCTTTCTGTGCATCCCTTCCCTCCCTTAGAACTTAGTGAATGTCTCATAAGTTAAATTAGCCTTGTGTTTTGGACTTTATTTTTTTTAAGATTTTATTTATTTATTTGAGAGAGGCAGAGCATGAAGAGGAGGGACCAGGAGACTCCCCCCCTGAACAGAGCTCAATCTCAGGACCCTGAAATTATGACCTGAGCTGGAGGCAGATGCTTAACTGACTGAGCCAGCTAGGCACCCAGCAGGTAAAATTATTTTTAAAAATATTTTATTTATCCAAATATATCTCAAATATTATCATAAATATTATCAACATATGATCAATGAAAATTATTAGTGGAATATTCTTTTTTTTTCTCTTCATAAGTCTTCAAAATCTGGTGTGTATTTTATACTGACAGTGCATCCAAGCTTAGACTGGCCACATTTTAAGTGCTCAGTTTCCATGTGTGGCTAGTTGCTGCTGAATTGGAGAGCTCAGCTCTAGAACACTGTCCTTTTCATCCATGTTTTCAAATGTATTTGAAAAATTGTTTTTATAACACTGGACAAACTACTTTTTAGATGATTTGTTTAATTTCCATGGTTTTTCCAGTTGTTGGATCCATTTAATCTTATTTCATATATTTGCCTTTTCTTTCCTCTTGATTTCATGAGCCATAAATTTGTACATTTTATTATTTTGTTTTTCAAAAAAACCCAACTTTTGAATTTATTAACTAGTTATATAATCTTCTGATTGGTAATCAATATATTTTAACTTTTTATTAATTTTAATTAATTTAATCCTATCCTTCAGGTTATTTGATTTTTTTTCTAACTTATTTATTGTTATTTCCTTCACTTATTTTTATTTTTTGTTTGTTAATGAAACTATATAAGACATATGCATTTTCATTGCACACTGCTTTAGCTGTATTGCTGTAAGTGCTCACATTCGAGTCTTCCTTATTACCATCTTCTCTTGTTCTGTGCTATCAGTTTGTATTTTTTCCTTTGACTCCACAGTTGTTTGAGAAAGTGTTTAAAATTTTCCAGTAAGTAGGGTTTTTTTGTCTTCAGATTTTTGACATTAATTTCTACATTGTCATTAAAGAATGTTTTCTGTTCTGTTTTTGTCTTTTGGAAATTTTGAGGTTTGTTCTGTGGTCACTTGAAAAGGAGATGTTCTCTATTTCTCTAATTTATTATATGATTTAGTTCTCCTTTAGCCTTGTTCATTTTTGTAAAGCTTGCCTTGTAAAGCTTTAAAGATTGATTTTTCTCTTTGTCCTTGGTATTCTATAGTTTCACTAGGAAGTGTGTAGGAATGGATTTATTTTAATTATCATTCTCAGATTGTGGTATACTAATTTAACTGAGGGTTCGTATCTTACTCCCGTATTCAAGATCTATGCCTGTCTTTGAAAATTGCTCAGTCCTTTCCTATATGTATTGAAAATTTCTCTTAGAAACCGTTGGTTTTTCCCATTTAAATGATCACATTTCTCAATTTCTCTCTCACGTTTCCATCCCTTTATTTTTTTGAGGCGTGTTGGGTAATTTCCTCTAACCTTTTGGTTTACTGATATTTTCCTCATCTGTGGCAGATATACCACATCAATTCCAGTTTCCCATAGGAAGTTTATATGTTTTCTTTCTCAAACTTCTATCGGGTCCTTTGGCCATCTTCCCATTCTATTTTCATTCTGGGCTAATGTTAATGTTTTCTTCCTTTATATGTTTAAATATGTTAGGTATCTCTTTTACATTGTCCTATTATCTTTGGTTCTTGATATTCAGCTTTTCCCATCTGTTGCATCTGTGATTTTTCCCTCATGGCCGTTCATTTCCTCATGCAGTTTATTATTTCTGTTTATCTTCAATGTGGCTCATATTTTTATGGTAAGTCCCAGTTCCCTGAGTTTGAGGAGGACCACCTCTACAGGACAGTTTCAATTTTTCTTCCACCAGGACCCTTATGGATTTCTTTAGTAACTTAACAACTTTTGATATTGATGTGGCTTGGGACCACTGTGCTAGGCATATAGTGTGAATTTATACTTGTCAACAGTGCCAGCCTGGGTGTCTGATTTCTACTATTTTCTCTTTCTTCCTCAAAGTACAAGTAGATTACAGTTGTCCTTGTCCCTTCTCAGACTGGTGGGGAGAATGTTTCTAATCCTTGGTGCTCATTTCATGTCTGGAGCAGTATTCTGTGAAACCCAATCCTGTGTTTTAGATCAGCAACTCCTCTGTATGAACATGCAGTCTGTACCTCTCAGCCGGTATCAAGTCCTGGTTTCCAGAAGTATCTCATCTTGAGTTCCCTCTATCACTTCAACTTTTCTTGCCTGGGAACCTGACTATGAATAAATCTTTTTCTTGTTAAGTTTCATCTGGAGATTTTTATCCATTTAAAGTGGGAGTGAGGGATTTACCAAGATAGTGACCAGAATTTCACAAACAAAATTTGAAGAGAAAATTAGTTTTTATAATAAGTTAAGGACAATGGTGGAATAGAATTCAAAATTTTCTTGAATTTTTAAGATACTCTGCACACTAAAGAAGTTTTGCTTGAGGCAGAGATTTGGGCCAATTTCCTTCATCCCTTGAGGTTACGTGTTTGTTCTGTTTTGTCATCAGGGGTACTTCTGTGGAAAAGTCTGAGAAGCATTGCCCTGAGATGACCTTGACTGCTAAAATGGAAATCACTCTGTGGGCAAGTCCCTGACATGTAAATTAACACCCAAGCTGCAGAGCACTTGCCTGGCTCAGTGGTCTGCATCTATTGTTTTGCCTAGGCCTGCCCTAAAATGTCAGGAAGGAAATCTTTAAAAATTATTATTATTATTCATGACAAAAAATTAAAACATTACAAAAGACTGTAAAGTAGAAAGAAAAAGAGCCCCAACCAGTCACCCCTCCCTCTCCCTCCAAATCCCTAAAGACTGCACTGCTTACAGCTTCTCATGGACTTTCCAGAAATGTTATGTGCACACGGATTCTTTTTTCTTTTTAGCACAAATAGGATCATAGTATACTTGCTCTGTATATTTATTTAGTTCTGTTACTTATTGCTACCTTTTGAATGTGTTTTCCTACGAGCACATGTAGCTGTACCTCATGTTTTCAGCAGCCGTAGGGATTTCCCATACATCGATGATCCTCCATTCATAGACAGTGGGCTTACATCCCATAGTTTTGCTATTTCCAACAACACTTCAGGAAGCGTACTTATGCAGACATCTTTTTGTATGTGTGTGAGCAGAACCTAGAAGAGAAATGTGGGCCAGAGTTTGGTGCATTTAAGCCTTTGATGGACAGGCTCTCCCAAAGTACAATGCACGCTTGAACTGTCACCAATGGTGGGAGATCTGCCTGGTGGTCAGGACTTTAAGGAGCTGCCAGACTTGTACCCTTGACTTGGCATTCCCAGAGAGTTTAGGGATATTGCCCCCAATTGAGGACAAAAATATGGTTATTGATACCAAGATCAGATGCTTCTCGTTTTTGAAAAATGTGGTTGCTAGAGTTGCTTTTGGGATTCCCCAAATGGAGAGCAGACATGGGTCAAAGGCCAGAAGGGCAGCATAAAGGACAGTGGATGAAGAGTTCTTATCACTGAACTCCTCAACTGTATTATTGGTTTTGATAAGTAACATATTTCACTATACAAAAAAGTGGAAAACGTGAAAACACACAAAGGAGTTAATAGGCTACTAATGTATGAGCAATGAAATAATACTATTTAAATAATTATTTAATCCGTTAAATAAGTAAAACTACCTTGTGGGGGGGTAGTTGGCACACAAAATAGGTCATGAAAATAATTCTAGCACTGAGACAAACTGTATTTGGGGATATGGCCCTTCATTCTTGGGAACAAGTTGCTAAACATTTTAAATATTTCTTCTGTGTGTATTGTATGTGTGTGAAATTTGAGTGTAAAGATAATGCAAAGTTGTTTTTTGCAAATGGTCACCAAAATTTGCACTTGACCTTGATGATTTCTAACTCTTTTAACTCTGATGAATTTTTTTTGGATTATTTTTTGGTGCCTGGGCAGTATGGAAGGGATGTGCCATCATTCATTTAGCTAATCCAAATACCATTAGACATTTTGGTAATTTCCAGCATTGCAATTTCCAGCACTATGGTGAATATTCATGAGTGTGCAGTACTGCTTTGCACTTCTTTGATTATTTCCTTAGGAAACGTTTTTGAATGTGGAATCACTGGTTCAGAGGTCATGTACATGTTTAAGTCTTTTTGCTCTATTTTGCCAAACTGACCTCTGGAAAGACAGTATGAATTTATATTGCAACTAGCAGTGCATAACAGCGGCAGTGCCCCTATGTGGTATTTGTTGACCATTTTATGAAGAGAAAAACAAAACAAAACAAAAAAAGAAAAAATGAGTCTCATTTTTTAACTTTACCTTTTTATGATTAGTGAGTGGTAACATTTTTATATGTTGTAAATTTTATGTTCTTTATGTATGTGTTCACTTAAATAAATTGGTCTGTAAAGGTTCATAATAAAATAAGGATAATCAAACCCTGATCATATAGGTTGCAGATATCCTCAGTTTTTCAGGGAATTTCTTGATTATTTTTTGAAAGAGATTTGACATAGAGTCAGATCTGTCTCTTCCCTCTCTATCCCATGATCCAGCTACAGGTCAGCAGCTGTATTTCTGCAGAGGATCTGGAAGCCCAGAAGCTGAGAAATGCTGGTGGGGTGCTGGGGACAAGGCTCTGTCAGCAGAGTCTGGTCATGGACAACTGTCATTCCATAGGATCACAAGGCAATGGGAGCTCTGGGTAAGGTTTGCTTTACCACTGCCTGCATTGCTTGTTGAGTGTCTTGCTGTGATTCCCCTCGAACCTAGTGGTCCAGGATGGAGGCTGCCCTGAACGCCCTGGGATGTGGAGCATATTGTTTCCACATTCCAAGCTGGCCACTGTGATATTGAGCCTCCTTCTTTGTCCTTGGTGGATGCAGGGCCAGCAGGCTGTCTTTTCATGGTTTGTCAAATGTTTCCCTGGACCTAAATGTCACTTTGGGCACTGGGACCTTGGATGTTGTCCTCATTCAAAACCCATTCATCTTTAGTCAGCAGTACTTGAGTGGCATGGAATGCAAAGGCAGCTGTTTTCTTGGTGGGGGTCATTATTAGAATGCCTAGAATTCCTGCAGCCGTCTTGATACCAGACAGAGAATGAAGCCCACACCAAAAGCAGAGAGAGGAAAAGAACTGGGTTCTTGTTGACATTCTTGAACCACTTATTCAACTGGCCCTGAAGCTCCCCTCAGGGAATATTTATGATATAAAATAATACATTCCCATATTGATTATGCTGGTTCCAGTGAGGGTTTCTTTTATTTGCGGCTAGAACCTCCCAGAGGATGGAGTAGTTATAATGCCAAAACCCCATAAAGCCCACAGCTTCTTAGCGTGTCCCAGGAGCAGTATCTGAAAACGCACAGTGGCATTATTCATTTGCAAATCTTCTCTGAGATGAAATTTTGTTCACTTTCTCCTCTGGTGAACCAGTGCTTCCACCTCTGCTAGCTTCTTTATTTCTATTCTCCTGGCTCCCACTCTTCTATGAAAGTCCAGAAGACCCTTCCAACAAGTGGATGTCTTCCCCTCAGGTTCCTGTTTGTGAGGAAGGATGAATCACTGCTTGTTAGTTGGTTCCAACTCACTACGGTGGCGGGGGGGTGGGGGGTGAGGGAGAGGCTCACTACGGGGTGGATGGCTCAGTAGTGGAGGTGACTTATCCCCTCAGGGGATGGCTCACTAGTGGACGGGTAACTCATTGGTGGGAGGGATGGCTCACTAGTAGAGGGGGATGGCTCACTAGTTGGGAGAGTCACACACTAGTTAGGAAGTGACTTATTATTGGGAGAGATGGCTCATTGGCTGGGGAGCGGCTCACTAGTGGGAGGGGCAGCTCACTAGTGGAGGGGCAAAGATTTCCAGCTGGAGAAGACTTGAAGAAAACCAGTCACATTGAGTGTATCCGGTTGGCAACATGGATGGTATTATTCTCCAGGACCCAGTTTCTTTCCTTCTGTATGCCTTGTCATCCTTGGAAATTGGCTTCATCCTCCAGCTGTTTTCAAGATGGCAGCATCAACCTGAGAAATAGCATCTTGAGGAATGGGGGACATTTTTCCTATGGCTTTCCCTCAGGGGAGAGGACCCTCCCATCCTGCTTTACTGTACCCCCAGCTGCAGGTTCTGTTCATGTCTTACTGGCCACCAGTGTGTTGCAAGGTCATCATGAGGAAATCACTGGCCACTGAGAATGGAGGGCCGCTTCCTGAGGAGGCCCAGCCCTGGGCTCACAGCTACACGGGAGTGGGGCAGATGTCTGAACACATGGGCATACTTTTCAGAGGGAGGATGGGAATAATAGATACTGTGACAGTCCAGGGTGCCGTCTATAAATATGATTTGCAGAGTTTCACTATGTTCCAGGACTTGATCTACAATATTTCTAACACCCACCTCAACCCCATGAGGTTGTAGCATTACCTCATTTTACAAAGGCGTAGACTGTGCTCGGAGGTTAAGATCTTTTTTTTTTTTTTTTTTTTGATAGTGTTAACCAACCCTTTTTCTAAAATGCTGTGGTAATAGAGTTTGTGAGTGGGCAGTTCAGGGTATAATTTCCCAGGTGGTGAGTGGAGATCAGCCAAGTGCAGTGTGATGCTCTCCCACCCTTTAGTCAAGTCAGGAACTCCCGGGGAGCAGGCTCTCCCCTGGGTGCTCCTCACCACGAACCGTTGAAAACCACTGTCAGGCAAGACAGGCCAGTTCATAATAATGGGAAGGCTTGCCAGGTACAGGACAAAATTACATGGGAGAACAAGTCAGGCACAAACCTTTCTAGATTGACATGTCTTTCCACCCCCACTCCAGCCCACTCAGGGCCACCCAACAAATGATGCCCTGGGGCCTTGGCATGCAATTAAAAGTGAAGAAATGCTTAATCAAATCATGCCACTTGAAGTGAGTTGGGCTGGAAAGAGAATGCTGTGGAGCGTTGGCCACAGTGGAAATTTACCAGGCCCAAGCCGACACCAAATACTCCCAGGTTGTTTTGAAATAGATACCGTTGTGTTCTGTAAAGTTCTGAGATCCTTTTGCAAATATTTAAAAACCTTTCTATTAACAACGATTGCTTTAGGAGATCACACACAGACATATACACACGCATCTGCACACACACCTCACTCCCCCTGCCCCAAAGGTTTCTACTGTGTGCATGGGGGAAGCAGAAACCCACAGCAGGCACTGCAGGCACCCCGAGCATCTCTTCAAACTGGCTGAAACCCATGAATCCCCTCTATCATCTGTTGAGACAGCTCCATTTAAAAAAAAAAAGTTTATTTATATTTTCCCCCCTCAAAAATGTCATGACTAACTTTCCATTCATTATCAAAATATTCTTTTGCCACTAATTTCCCTTCTTGGTTAAAATAAACAAAGAAGCAAACCCTGTTGGCATTGCATCTTAGGATGCACTCTGCTGTAAACAAGAGAAACTTTTCTTAACAGATCTTGAAGAGCCCTCCCGTGAGAATTTCCTCTGTTTATCAGCTTCATGTGGCACAGAGGGCAAGCAGCCATCATGAAGTGCAGGGCAGAGGGGAAGCTGTCTAGGACATGCCAGGACTCAGCATCTCCTCCTTCAAGGTGATGCTCCAGTTTCGCAGGTCAGGTGCTTCCTGCCCCCGTGTCCAGCTAAGGGTGCAGAATTGAGGGACCTGGACCTTGGGACTGGCTATTGTGTAACCTCGGGCAGTCCTTTCACCTCTCTGCCACTCACTTTTCTTACCCATAAAATGAAGCTGTAGGATCTTATGATCCCCAAGCCCTCTCTAGCACTGAAACTTTAGGATTCTAATCCAGCAATGTCTGCATGAAAAGAAGGGGGGATTCTTGAAAAAACAACAACAGCAAAATCTTAGTTTTTAGGATTCTGGAACATGCAGTGAAGAATCCTATGTGAAACTGAAACATTTCATTTTTGAAAGGCAGAATACAAGAGAAGAAGAGAAGTCAAAAAACTAACTCACCCAAGGCTTCCTTTCCAACAACACAGCTGAAAGCCTGCCCCAATGCCCCAAGGATACCCTGCAAATGGAGGAACAGGAAGGGGGTACAGAACACCCCTTTTTAACTGCCCTGAGCCAGGAGGGCAGTTCTCAACCCTTTAGCTTCACTTCTATTCCATGACCTAATCTGAATGCCTACCTGTGAGGCTTCTAGAGAAATGTTGAGGGGTCTGAGCGTGGGATGACTCTCTTGACTGTAGAGAAGAGCAGAGGTCTAGGGAGGGACTTACCTTAAGGGAAACCAAGACAAACCATTGAGTCTTTCTGTGGTAGATGTGGCTGTTGGTAGATGAGACCCTGCTCAGCATCCATTAGGGTCTTCTGGGCTGGTCTCCTGGACGTGTTCTACATGGAAGGGATGTGGGGGAGAAAGAGGGACCACTGTTAGAAAAAGTAGGGGCTTTTCAAGATTGGCCAAAGGGAGATGTTGTTGTCTCTGGTGGGGAAAGTCCCTCTTGGGGTGTGATGGCAGCAGTGATGTATATGGCCATGCTTATTGGAGACCCCCGATGTATTGTGAGATCCTGTAATGGGATTAGGTCCTGCAGCTACAGCAGTGAATGTGAGCTGCCCTGGGGCATTTAGAAATGCGAAGGGACTTGAGGTGGTGGAGGCTTGGATTTCTGTAGTACTACCAGGTGGCAGCTATCATAGTCATCCCCCTAAATCAGGGTAGTGTAGAGAAATAAAGATGAGACTGATGATGCTCTAACAGCCATGCCTCAGTCATGGCTTCCAGTTCAGGCCAGGAGATGGATGCTTGTGCCAGTTTCAAGGGAAATGAGAACAATGAGGATGATACAGTGCTGTCTTCCATAAATCTAAATTCATTTAATTTAAAAGACTGTTCTCTATTTTGAGATTATGTCTTCTCCAATTTTGGTATTTAAAATGTCCTTTCTTTTTTGAAGTGATGGCACTAGGTGATAGTTTTTTTAGAAATGTCCTTATTTGACAAAATAAAGAATTGGCAAATCCAGCTGATGCCTGTGGCCAATTCTACTGGTTTTTCTCTAAGTATTGGTTTTCCCTTTTTCCACGCCAAAAGAAATGTAAGGGGGCATGCGACCACCCAAAATAAAGCCTACAGTTCCCAGTTTTCTTTGGAGCTAGGTGTGGCCGGCTATTGAAGTTATGGTTGACGGGATGTTTGCAGAAGTGATGCCTGCAATTTCTGGGTAGTGTCCTTAAAGAAGGGACTTGTCTGCTCCCTGCTACTTTACCTCCTCCTGAAGCCTGGAATATAGGCATGGGGTTATCTGGGACTATGCAGATGAATGCATTGAGAGTGGCAGAGGAACCGGACGGAAGGAGCCTAGATGCCCCCAAACCATAGCATTACCATTTCAGCTCAGGATGCTTATGTAATGTGAGAGAAATGGACTTATATTTCATATCTCTGCAGATAAAATGAATCAGCATTTACATGATATTTGCAATAATGAGAATAGATGAAATTATCCAGGAATAGAGAGTAGAGGGAGAAAAAGAGCCTAGAATGGAGCCTTAAAGAAGTATAGTAGTTATATACAGGAGGAAGAACCCTTAAGGGGACTGAAAAGGGAAAGCCAGAGAACTACGAAAGAAAAATGGTGGAGAAGAGGCAGTGAAAGAATATATTTCGGGAAGGAAAGAATTCCAATTCCAGTGATGCTGAGAAGTCAAGGAAGAAGAGGCCCAACATAGCCAT